CTCTCAGATTTGTATGTTTTTGAATAATTATTAGAATTCTCTTGGAGGAGAAATTGAGGGCAAATTATCTAACAAACTGTCTAACAAAATATGGGTGGGAAAATCTGCTGTCAGATAACAAAAGTCCTCAAAAACTATCCGAGTCCAGAAAGTTCCTAACAACTAAGCTGACAGCGGAAGTCAAAATAAGAAACAGACGTTTAGGTGATAAATTCTATTTACGAAGCCATTTTTAAAGGTGTCATCATAACGGTATTGGAAACCAACATTTCTAAAACAAATATTAACCCATTCCTGTCTGGTCACCCATAACAAAGACACCATCCAGGCCCGACAGCCACAGGTGGCCAAACTGAAAAAATGTGATTACCCAGTTTTGCAAGGGTGTGGAGAGGCAGCCCTCTCATACACTGGCTGTAGGAGAATAATTGGATTACATACAGAGGGCTATTTGACATAGTTTTTAACCAGCAAATTCTACTTCTCAGACTTGGTCCCACAGAAATTGCACAAGAGGGACAGGTCTAAGGACAAGGGTGGTGGCTGCACCAATGTTACCATAGTGGAAAACTGAATGCCAACATCCAACAAAAGGAAACTGTTTGAATACATGATAGTATTGCCATCCTATGGAAAACGATGCAACTGGTGAAAAGAATAACACGTGTGAAGATGTGTAAGAATACAATGCCAAGGGGAAAAAGTACATTCGAAGAGAGTCCACATAATAGGACCCTCATTGGTCAGAATTAGATGTACTCACATTTTTATACATAACATGTTTTGAAAGATGCCATGTCTTGGTGTGCTGACTATTTGCCTTCTAAGCTCTTCTGCTGTAACTTACCCTTCTTTTCTCCATCCACATGGCTCCTGTGGGAACTGCCATGGCCCTACTCTGCCATGGTCACAGATGACCAGGGTAGGCACCTGAGCCCAGCTGGTCCCTTACCCAGGATTTTCTTACTGGGCACCACCCTGAGACCAGTCAGCCCTGTGTACAAGTGTAGGTGGTACACTGGTTCTCTGTCATAGAGGGAAGGCTGCTTGCAGGAGGAACCACTCAGGCTGGACATGGGCCTAGCCTGACTATGCTCAGGTGCCCAGTTCCGTGCTGCTCAAGCTTACTGTAGGCCTCTGCCTCCTGCCTTCAGCCTGGGCATGCAGCTCATGCATGCAAGACCTGATAGGCTTTCAATAAGAACCCCGTTTGTTTAAGCTATTTGAGCATGTTTGAGTCCTTTGCAGCCAAGGGTCTTAACTAATAAAAACTGCAGTTAAATCTGTGGGAATATACCTCAAACTGTTCCCAGTGTCCTTTCCAGTGAGGGTCCTACCATAAAGAACTTTTTACCTTGTGTACTACGCATCTTATAATACTCAGATTTTAATTACTTCTACAATGAGCACACAGGTCTTTTGGAATCAGGAAGTTAGGTCTTAAATGGAAAAAAAAAAAAAGCATAAAAAGCATTTCATGTCTCCACCTTGTTCTTATGGAGCCTAAATGAGAAGTGAAAAGGACATAAGCAGGAGGGCTGATCACCAGGCTGTCCTGTTGAGTAGTGTGTCTGAGCTGGACCTTAGAGCTAACTTAACACTAATAAGTGTTAATTCCAAGGACTTTGGATGTACTTTCTTGAAACTTGGATGACAAAGCACTTCTCTTTTTCATGAAAGATGACTATTAGAACAGCCAGATCTAGTCCAACTGCATTCCCTGAAGCTTGCCGATGCTGGTGGCACGGGCCTGTCCCTACTGGATGGCTGTTTCAATCCAGTCACCCTTTCAATAAACATGATTCCACTGTCCTCAACCTTTTGCCCCAATGAAACTTTATGGTCATCCAGACTGGCTTAGAGGGTGAGGGCCAGCATATCTGGAGCTCTGCTGCCTTCCATTCCAATTTGGGGATCAAGCCCAGTGTGAGTGGCCAGCCGGGCAGTATTCTGGCTATGTGGAGGTACGCAGAGGCTCGCGGCAAGGATGCAGTCACCTTTCTCACACGGCTAACCCTGACCCTCTTCTGATGTTGAGACAAAAGGGACTTAATCCAGTCTCCAAGAGAGAAAACTTGCTGTGGTTTATTCTGCCTTGGCCACATGTGCTTTCGTGGATTTAGATGATGACTGCACTTTCACACAATGAGCTGGAATTGTGATGCTTGACACACAGGGTGGGTTTGGTGAAGAATTCCCATTTCCTCTTCCCAAAGATTTAGTCCATTTGCCTCTTTGTCGTGATATGTTGATAAAGTGATCCAGGCAGTCAACATTACCTAGTTACTCCATCCATTAATATGATTACACTTTCTGATGATCTTGTGGCTATATGTTTCAAAAGTGAAATAGCAACGTCCCTCGGCTCCTGCCAGCAGAATCAGCTGAAGGTTGGCTATCATTTTTATTCTCCTTACTGGTTTACTTCTCCTGTGCTGCTACTTTCTAAAACCATTATCCCTCCTGTCAACAGGCGCTGCTCACGTGCTGCCAGAAATGCCCCCAGAGGCCTGATACTCAGCATTCCTTTCCTGAGACCTTGAGGAACAGTTATCTGATGCTCTGATTGGAATCCTCCATGCCAGGGGGTTACAGGGGAGGAAAGGGATTTACTGGGCCGCATAAAGTTCCAATTCAGAAAGTGCCTTTTCTTTTTTTTTCTCATAAACTTGACATGTGGGAATGTCTGAGCCAGGATGGCCAATTTACAAACAAAATTACTATAATTATTATAATTATGAAGGACCTGGTGGTATGGGACTTTAGTCTGAACCCGTGTTTCACATAAAGTAGTCTAATTGTATCAGCTTCTAAGAACGTGGAGTATCACAGGCATGCCTGTGTGTGGTTCTTCTGTACCCGCTCTGAGCTGCTTTGATTTGGGCAGGAGGGTGAAAGTGAATTTTTTTTTTTTTTTGGTCCTTTTTGAGACTGGCTGCACCGTGCTCAGCCAGTGAGCGCTGTGAGCGCACCGGTCATCCCTATATAGGATCTGAACCCGCGGCGGGAGCGCTGCTGCACTCCCAGCGCCGCACCCTCCTGAGTGCACCACGGGCTCGGCCCGAAAGTGAATTTTTAAGGAGAACTGACTATAGTCAGAGCTAAAGGCCTCTGTACTTTGAAAGGAAGACCAATTTGAGACTGAAATTAGTTCAAGGGCCATTCTTTAATGAGGCCATCCTTGAAAATAGGAACTCTGTATTCTCAATTTATCTCAACCTGCAGAAATACAATAGAAAAAATTAGGTTTTTCTAAGAAACTGGTTTCAAAATCAAGGCTCACCTATATGTTAAAGCATTTTAAACAAATATCCAAAAGCAGGATCTCCACTAAATAGATGGTGAGAATATTATTCTCACTCCTGACAGACTCCAAATTTGTCTGATTCAGATAAAAACGACAAAATTATTTTTTGGAGTGGAGAGGTATGAGCAAATGATCTGTGACACAGACTTCATAAGCTACTGAAACAGCACATGCTTCCTGTCAACCTGATTCTTGCATTCGCTAATTCAACAGAACGTTTTCTGACAACATGAGAACTTCATTTCTACACTAAATGAACGAGGAAATTATAGATTACACACATCTGGAAAAGTCATTAAAAGGAGCATCTGCTTTCTGTATTTAAACAGAAGAATCTGGTTTTAAGGAAAAAAATGATAATCTGTGCTTCACTGAATAAGGTAATTGTTTCTGGAGTCAAGAAGAAATAGGTCCCTTTTGTCTGTGGGCACCTGGCCAAGTGTGGCACTGGGAATGACCCTTCTCCTGGGACACTGTTCTGGTAAATGGATGTGCTGAGCCAGCTGGCTGGGTCCTGCCAGTGGCAAAAAGAGGTGGGAACATTAAATTGCTTTTAGGCACCAAAAAAATCAGGATTTCTCTGCTGGCTCTCGAAAGTCAATCTACCCTTATGAGGTTCTGGTCACTTAATCTGCAAATAGACACTGTTTTGTAATGTCATGAGATCCCATGTGGTGTAGTGGGAAGGAAGATATCTCTGAGCCAAGGTTTTCTCACCTGTGAAAATTGGCTCTCGAAAGTCAATCTACCCTTATGAGGTTCTGGTCACTTAATCTGCAAATAGACACTGTTTTGTAATGTCATGAAATCCCATGTGGTGTAGTGGGAAGGAAGATATCTCTGAGCCAAGGTTTTCTCACCTGTGAAAATGGGTAAGTTACCCTTCCTTGTCTTTCATGATTGGGTAATCTCAGAAGTATCTCTAACAAAGTAACTTCTAGACTGAGAACTGGTACATAAAGGGAAGTCATTCATGTTTTTAGGGCTTCAGTGGCAAGAAATGAGAATGCTAGAAGAAGCTTCATTCTGGCTCCCTATCCCCATCCAAAAAAATCAAAGGCTGCAGCAGATTATGCTCAGCAAGATCTTCACTGCTCTCCTCCTAATCTTTTTCAAGTACTCACTTTAGTGTTCTACATTCACAGTCCATGAACTTGACCTCAGGTCATGATTAAGTGCCTGCTAAGCACAGCTGTGAATGTAGCATTACTCCATGAGGCAAGAGAGGTGGGAGAAGAGGCTCTGGCCTGGAGGAGCTCACCAAGGACAGAGGCCCAGGAGGATGGGGGCGTGTCACCTGGAACTAGGACCTGTGGACTGGACCTTGGGTGCTGAGGGACTGTTTGCAGCAAATGGGTCTTAGCTACCCCTTATGCTTCCTGGAAATCAGGAATCATAAGGAAATGGAGAACAATAATATAGGAGAAAGAGCACAAGACAGAAAGGTAGGTTCACATTCCATCTCTACAACTTTCTAGACTTTTCTGGACTGTAGTTTTCATGTTGGAAAAATGAGATGGCCACTTTCTAGCTCTGACTCCTTCTTGGGTAAAGCAGGCTGCAAGCCTGAAGCAAATTCTGGCCTTACCCCAGGCCACACAGTCCCCAAGAGCTGGGTTACTGCATGGCATGCCCACTGAGCAGATGACATATGGACACACGTCCATGTCAGGGCAGAAAGGCTGGGCATTACCTGGTGTGGCTGTTGGAGGAGAGGCTCTCCCAGGGCTGCACGCTGCAGCCGGCCACGGCAAAGGCTCCCCCGCAGCTGCCGTCCAGTTTCATGAGCAGGGCTTTGGCGGCATTCTCGGCCGTCTTCCGGCAGTCATGAGCTCGCTTGAGCATCTGAGTGATGTTTTCATCCCCTGACTGGTCTCCTACATTGCAGAGATGCCAATGGATTAATCAACACAGGTCTGGAGAAGGCAAGCCTGGGAATGAGTTTGCATAATCAATTCTCAGTTACTCAGGACAAAGGTGGCATGGGGGAGAGGAACCAGCAGTGGCCTGTCAGCGAAGAGATCAGCATCCTAAGAATGGCTCGTCACAGGGCAGTTCTATGTGAGAAGGCATCTCTCTGCTCTGAGCGCCACTGTCCTCATGGACAAATGAAGGGGTTGGCAAATGTGACCTCCAAGGTCTGTTTCCAGCTCTAAGATTTTATGATTTTCCAACGTTCAGCCTCCTGGCTTCTCCTCCCACTCAGTAACAAGTCTACTGTTTGGCCACTCTTCCGTGCACAGGCACTTCTTTAAGAATAAGGGCAGGGAGAAACTGAGGCAAAATTGTGCCACATCTCCACATGTCTATGGCTTTGGTTAGAGCTTTGTGTGAGGGCCAAGAGAGACAAAACTAGTGGTTTGGATAAGGGTGGCTCTGTATTTTCTGCACTGATGCTATCCCTGACCCTTCTCTCAGCTTGGTAATGGTGGCCAATTCAAATGCTTCCAGGAGCCAGGAAACTGGGCTGGAGCAGAACATTAGGGCATGGTAGGCGCCAGCACAGAGCCAGGCAGTGAAGTCCCTGCCCAAGACATTCCTCTTCTTGTTGTATTTTAAAAACTGTGCTGGAAAAGGCAAAGCTATGGAGTAAAAGGATCAGTGGTTGCCAGGGGTTTGGCAGGGTGATGAGGGAGAAATGAATACTGGAGCACAGAGGATTTTCAGAGCAGTGATACTACAATGGTAGATACACGTCATTATATATTTGTCCAAACCCACAGAACATGCAACACTAAGAGTGAACTGTAATATAAACTATGGACTTGGGGTAATAGTGATGTGTCAATGCAGGTCCATCAGTTGTAACAAGTGTACCATTCTGGTGTGAGATGTGGACAATGGGGGAGGCCGTGCATGTGCATGGGCAGGAGGTATATGGGAAATCTTTATACCTTCCTTTCAATTTTGCTGTGAATCTAAAATTGCTCCCAAAACATAAAGTCTTGAAAAAATAAAACAAAACAAAAACTGTGCTAGCCAGACAAGTCACTAGTTTGCTACCTGTACAGATCCATGCTCTTTCAAATATTTTCAAGTGAAATCTTATGCTGAAGGACACAAAATGGTAATGTTAACATACAAAAAATGGTAACTGCAGGACTGGATGAAGTAGGCAGGGGTGTGCGTGGGGAGATACGCTCAGCTTCCCCATCCTCCACTGTTGAGGCCCAAAGAAATTCCTCCAGCTTCCCAGGGCACAGTTTGAAAACCACTGGCCTAAATCATCTAGAATGAACATAATGAATGCCTGTGAAATCAACAAGAAATGAAGGAAAAATCACAGTAATTGATACCATGGGTAGATTTCACAAACTAGTTCTTGCTTTGCTGTGCAACAAATATGTGGCACGCTGGGACAGAGTGACAGGTCTTCTGCTGTTGTCAGCAGAATAGAAGAGTGAGATTTAATGGGGGCGGCTAAAAATTAAGCCAATCCTCAGCCCTATGGAGTGGGCAGGAAATTGGAGTGGGCATGTCCTGCAAGCTAAGACCCCCTGGACCTCCCTTTGGCCATTTCTCTGACAACCTTCGTGCCTTTCTTCTTTCTACAAATAAAATATTTTACATACATCTCACCACCCGACTGCTATTTGAATTCTGTTCTGAAGCGGGCATGATATTATTGACTGGGTCATCTTATAAATATATACATGAACTACCCAGTATTAGGTAAATACAAAGCATTTCATTATTGATTTTAAACATTTTAAATGCAAGTTTGTTTAAGCCTTTTCAGCTCCTACCAAGTTAACTGCACTGAGTAGGTACAAGCCTAATAAAAGGTACCTTTTGAGGACGGAACAGGTTAAGACAGTCTTATGATACAAACTGAAAATAAGATGATTGATTGTTTTCTTTTAATTAGTCATTTTTCTTAATACATGTATATATTTAAGGACAAAAAAACCTGACAGCAAGCCAAGATCATTTTAGGATCTGTTTCATATGAGGAATAAAGTTTTATGATTCAGTTAAAAGACCCTGAAAAATGAAGTTTCTAATGGAAATGCTGGCAAACCTTCTAATTCTGGGCTGGTAATACTATTTAAAAAAAAAAACCCAGGAGGAGGAGTAGAGGATGGCCACCCATACTAATGAAGGCTTGTTCCCTTGTTGGATAGCGTGGATATGAAGCAGGAAATTAATACCCAGGTTACTTCCCTTCCTTTAGATTTGCTTCATATCCACCCATACTAATGAAGGCTTGTTCCCTTGTTGGATAGTGTGGATATGAAGCAGGAAATTAATACCCAGGTTACTTCCCTTCCTTTAGATTTGCTTCATATTCCTGTGCATGTCAAAATTGAAAAAGGAAAAATGCATGAGTGTTCAGAATTCAGTGCAAAAGAAAACCCCAGGCAAGGAGAGAGGTGCTGGTGGGGACAGGAGGAAGCATTTAGATGACAACCTTCTTTCTAAGGGGTACCCTGGAAGGACAAGCCCTAACAGAAGCTCACAGCTCAAAGCCAGTCCATGACAAATGACTGGTCACCATGGATGGGGACACCTGGCCTGCCCATGCCACCCACCTTCAGCTCTGGAGTGATCTGGTCACTTCGACTTTCTGTTTACTTGCCTTTGCTTCTCCAGTGCAGCCACTGTGATAACGCACAGCCTAAGGCAGCGTCTGGGGCTCAGTGCTGCATGCAGAGATGGCAGCCTTTTCCCCTGGCTCTCTGTCTTCTCAAGCACTATTTCTATTGCAGTCTTCCTCATGTCACTGCAGGGCTCAGAGCCGCAACCACTGGCCGCATTTTAGGACTTATACCATTTTCAATAAAGTACCCCTTCCACTGACTCAGAACTGAAGGATAGAGTAGGGAGTGGGGGAGGGCAGTGTGATCTCAATGTACAAATCAGGCCAACAGGGGCTGGCTGGTTAGCTCAGCTGGTTAGAGCACGGCATTATAACACCAAGGTCAAGGGTTTGGATCCCTGTGTCAGCCAGGTGCAAAAAGAAAGAAAGAAAGAAAAATCAGGCCATGACCCCTCGGATGGGGGAAAGGGAAGGTGGCAGAGGTCAGCAGATACACCTGCTTCACCGGGGCTGACAAGGTCGGGGTGTGAAACTCCTTCTTCTTTATTCGTAAGACACCTGGAGATGAAGGAGCTTCAAAATGACTCACAGGAACAAACCTGGAGAACAGGCACAGCCAATGAAGCAACGAGACAAGGCAAAGGCCACATGGCAGCAGAGGACCCCTCAGCAGCCAGCACCACAGGGAGAGGCTGTGGAAAAGTTGGCCCCTTAATCGCCAGCGTGGGCCTCCCGTTCCATCTGGTCCTACTGTCAGCCCAGGAGAATATGTTTCCTAAGAGGCCCTGTTTGTTTTAACTTGTCTGTTTCCACTCCAGTTCTTACTGCATTCAACATAAACAATTTACCCACTCAGTCATGAGGAAAAACAAAAAACACACTTGACAGGCGAATTGCACATTGTTGGGAGATGATTCAATGCCAGCAGCTGAGACAGGGGTAGTGGAGCAAGAGGCAGGGAGAGGAGACAAGGAAGCTGGACGCAGGGACTCAGGAGACACTTACCAGGGGAGGATCCCACGCCCGCCGCTCGGAACTGCCCCAGGATGAGGCTCTGTTCGCTCTCGGCCAGCGCCAGGAGGAGCTCGTAGGCTTCGATGCACTGCTCGCTGAAACACAAGCACACGCGTCCTCAGTTCTGGCATCTTCCATGCAGCACCACCTCCTGGGGAGAAGGCAGTGCGGGATCTGCCTCAGCCTCCCTATCCACATAAGCAAGGAACCACAAAGCCAGTGGCTTGCTCTCTTCTCCTACATTGGTCTTTTTTTTTTTAAACTTTAAACTAGATTCTAGAAAAATACAAGGGAAGCAATAAAAGTGGGAGAGCTAAGTTTGTTGTCTCTCTGATGATCAGCTAAAAAGGAAATGGGATATGCCTAAGCTAGTTGGCCTCCCAGGTGGCCCCAAGGAGCCCCACATCCTGGTACCCAGACCCTAGTGCCGCCCCCTTCCACATTGTGCCAGGGTTGGTCTGTGTGACTAATACAATATGGCAGAAGTGATGTTAAGTCACTTCCAAGATCAGGTTATTAAAAAACACTGTGACTTTAATCTTGGTCAGTCTCTCTCACTTCACTTTCTCTCTGATCATTCTCTCTAGAGGAGACCAGTTACTACGTCTTGAAGACTCTCAAGCAGCCCTTGAGAGAGGCACATGTGGTGAGAACTAAGGCTTCCAGCCAATAGCCAGGGAAGAACTGAGGTCTCCAGCCAATGGCCACATAAGTGAACCTTCTCAGAAGCAGATTCTCCAGCCCCAGTTAAGATTTCAATGACATAGCCCTGGCTGAGAGCTTGACAAGAGCCTCATAAGACACGGTGACCAGAACCACTTAGGTAAACCACTCCCACATTCCTCACCCATGAACCTGTGACACAATAAATAGTTATATAGTAGGTAACTAATACCCATAAGGAGATGATTTTGACCTAGACTTGCACTACATTCAATACCATAGCTACTAGCTACATGTGGCAATTTAAATTAAATATTTTTAAGTCAAATAAAATAAAAAGTTCAGTTCCTCCACTGCTGGAGCCATAGTTCATAAGCTCAATAGCTACACATGGCTAGTGGTTACCAAACTGGACAGCACAGATAGACAACAGTTCCATCATCACAGAAAATTCTGCTGGAAGCTTGTAAAACTGTCTCATGAAACACTCTTAGGCCATCACAAAATGTCTGGCAAGAGTTTGAGTTTTGATTTCTAAGAAGATGAAAAATAGTCACTCTTTGTGCCCGTCGTCTATCGAGCAAACAAGGTGAAAGATCAGAGGATGGTCCTTTTCCTGCAGCCTGAGACCCACATGGACACTTGTGCATACGGGAGGAAGAGCATGTGGTCTTTTTTTTTTTTTTAAAGATGACCGGTAAGGGGATCTTAACCCTTGGCTTGGTGTGGTCAGCACCACGCTCAGCCAGTGACCGAACCGGCCATCCCTATATGGGATCCGAACCCGGGGCCTTGGTGTTATCAGCACCGCACTCTCCCAAGTGAGCCACGGGCTGGCCCCGGAGGAAGAGCATGTGTGTGGCACCTGTGTGCTCCCAGACAGGACACTGAGGTAGCAAAACGTCCTTCTCAAGCCAACAGCCAAAGAGCCTCTCCATGCCAAGCGGGGGATATGTTGCTTTAGCCAACATTTAGTCAGGAGACCATCTGTTTCTGATTGTCTTTACTTTCATCATCCTTTGCTAAGAGTTATAGAAAGGGGCCACATCACCAGCTCTAGGTGCTAGCAGCTCTTTTCAAGAGCAGCCCTTGTTGCAGGTTAGAAATGCGAGGTCATTTCTTCATCCATGAGATGTGCTCATGTGAAGAAAGACCTTTCTGATCAAAGGCAGACTGTGGACAGAGAAGAGCCTGCTTCGAGAGCTATCTGGGCTGGATCACCTACTTGCTTGGTGCATCTGTAAACTAGGATGCTTGTTCTCTAGCTTGAACTCACGTATTTTGGTTTGATTATGTTTTTTGAAGAAATAAAGTTTCTTAAAACAATATTGAACTTTTTAGAAAATGCTAACAGTAAGATACAGTCAACCACTCTGAGATCTTGGCAAATAAGTTTAAGTGGTGACATTAGTGAAATGAATCTTTTAAGACAACAATAAAGCATAGTTTTGTAGCTTTAGACAAATGGGATCCGAACCCGGGGCCTTGGTGTTATCAGCACCGCACTCTCCCAAGTGAGCCACGGGCTGGCCCCGGAGGAAGAGCATGTGTGTGGCACCTGTGTGCTCCCAGACAGGACACTGAGGTAGCAAAACGTCCTTCTCAAGCCAACAGCCAAAGAGCCTCTCCATGCCAAGCGGGGGATATGTTGCTTTAGCCAACATTTAGTCAGGAGACCATCTGTTTCTGATTGTCTTTACTTTCATCATCCTTTGCTAAGAGTTATAGAAAGGGGCCACATCACCAGCTCTAGGTGCTAGCAGCTCTTTTCAAGAGCAGCCCTTGTTGCAGGTTAGAAATGCGAGGTCATTTCTTCATCCATGAGATGTGCTCATGTGAAGAAAGACCTTTCTGATCAAAGGCAGACTGTGGACAGAGAAGAGCCTGCTTCGAGAGCTATCTGGGCTGGATCACCTGCTTGCTTTGGTGCATCTGTAAACTAGGATGCTTGTTCTCTAGCTTGAACTCACGTATTTTGGTTTGATTATGTTTTTTGAAGAAATAAAGTTTCTTAAAACAATATTGAACTTTTTAGAAAATGCTAACAGTAAGATACAGTCAACCACTCTGAGATCTTGGCAAATAAGTTTAAGTGGTGACATTAGTGAAATGAATCTTTTAAGACAACAATAAAGCATAGTTTTGTAGCTTTAGACAAGAAGCAGTTTAAAAACAGATAAATATCAAAGCTGATGAGGCAGAATAAAAGTGGTACTTTCATATATCACTTGCTTACCAATGAATGAACCGTAGTCATTTGAACTAGCTTGTTTTTATGGAAAAAAAACTGGCAGCATGTCTGAAGAGCCACGAAAATATTCTTTTCTTTTGACCTATAACTTCTGCTTCAGAGATTTTATCCCAAGGAAAATATTCAAGAATGAAGACCTTACCTGCACTAAATTATTCACCATAGAATTATTTTCAATATCAAAAGTCTAAATGTCTTTTAGATAAATGAATAAATGAAATAATAATATATAAATGATGCAGGGGATATAGCCATTCAAAATAAATGGAGACTATTAAACAATATTAAAAGAATGCACTACAGATTAACAATAACGTAAAATATATATGAATATGAATAAAGACCAGAGAGAAAAAATGAATATATATTACAAAAACTGATATCTTGTTTGATATTACAGTAAAATAATACTTAAGTTGAATATGCTAGTAGACAAATACCTGTTTACTAATACCACATTCATTACACTTATTTTCTTAATAGCTACGAGGGCACTAATGGATTTTTTTTTTTATTGTATCACTAATATTTGCTGGTCTAACCCCCTGGTAATGCCTTCTGAAAGCCTGTTTTCTACTTTTATGCAGGTTGCTCTGATGCATTTCTAAATCAAATCAAAGTGGCTACAGACATCCGGCTGTGTGTCCCCCATCCCACTGCTGGTCCCCACCTGTATTGCAAGGCCAGCCTCAGGGCCGTGGCGTTGGACTCGTATTTCCCCACCAGCATGCTCATCCTCTCAGCGTTGCTTTTACATTCCTCTAAGGTTATGGTCAGGAGGTCATTTTGGGATTTGAGGTGTTCAATACGGCTACAAAGGAAAATAAAATCAGTTTCACACTAGGATTATAATTAATTTGTCAATATTTCAGTTGTCTCATTTATATTCAGTTCAGAAATGCATGTTAGGATGAGGGCTTGTCAGATGTTTTAACAAATGTAACTGGCACAAAATAATCAAGGAGGCAACTCTAAATGAAACAATCATCAAATTCTGTGTGAATTAGAAATAAAAAATAAGCCCCCTGGTAACTTGCTACCCATCCATGGACATACTTGTTCCACATCTGCATGTGCCAGGTCCCTTGCTAGGCCCTGGGGATGTGTTAAGGAAAGGAGACAGCCATGCGACCTCAAGGCCCTGTGTGCTTCAGTAATTTGCCCTCCACAGGGACAAGTGAAAAGCAGCATCGTAGTAATAGCTATTGCTCAATAATCCCCTAGTAGCCCTCTGAACTAAGTGTTACTATCCCCATTTCTCAGATGGGAAAATGGAGGCACAGAAAGATTAACTACCTTGCTCCGGGACATGAGCCAGGCAGTTTAACCCCAGGTCCTAGACTCTTAACCACCTGCTACAGAGCAGAAGCAAAAGATGAATCAGCGAGTAAACAGGAAACTGCCCCTAAGGGTCTCTAAGTGGGAAATGGACCAGGAATGGAGGAGCACGTTCAAAGCTCCTTCCAGGTTACACAGCCTCGCAGCTCTACCTACCAGTAAGATAAGCAGTGGGAACTTTAACTTTTATAGGATTCAGAACTGTATATTCACGGCAAATGAGTCTGTGGCAAAGTCAGAACACAAATCAGAAACATAAATCTTCAGCTTCTCCATTTTCTCCTAGGACCTGGATGGTCTAGAGGAGATGATGCATTTTACATGGGACACGCCCAGGTGTAGGACTCTGAGCACCAAGTATTAAAAAGACATAGAGTTTTACATGCAAAACGCAAGCGACTCTTGAAATGAAATGGCTTGGAAGCCATCCACCCCAAGGATAAATCACAGAATCACGTATCTTAGAGCAGAATATGGAGACACTCGCCAGCATGTGAGCTGTAGTACCGTGGGTGCAGACGAAGACCCTGCTGGGTTCTGGCAACTCCAAGGTCAATCTGAGGTAAAGTGTTACCAGAGTACGCTCCTGCCCCTGTTCTCTCTCATTTACTTCTCGGCTTGCTCCAGTATACATTTGGTCCCCACTAACAGATGAAGCTTTTACCCAACTCACAGTCCTCCATGTGGCCAAACCCATCTTACGGCCCTTCCCAGGCAACACCCCCCCGATCAGCTCCTCCTTCCTTCTTAAAATGCTCCCTGGACATAGGTCATGATGGGTCTTTCTGGATTTCTTCCTGCCTTAGGGGCCATTTCTTCTCAGTCTCCCTTGCTGGCTCCTCATTCTCTGCACAATCTGTGATGGTCAGCGTTCCCTAGGGTGCAGCCTAGGGTCCCCTCCTCTATTACCACTCTCACCTTCGTGGCGATTTTGTCCAGGGCCATGACTTTATAAGGCTTTTATGTTCCCACAGTTCCCAGGTTTCTCCAGCCCAGACCTCTCTTCTGACGGCCAGCCCCACACATCCAGCTGCCTTCCTGGCATTTCCATTCGGGTGTCCCACTGCCATCTCCAAGTTAACATCCCGGAACGGGACTTTTGATTTTCCCAAGCCTTGTCCTCCCACGTCTTCTCCATCTCAGTAAATGCTAGCACCATCCACCTCACAGTATGAGCGAGACAGCTGAGAATCTTCTTGGAGACCATCCCTTTCTCCTACATCTACATCTAACCCCGCTGCGGTTTCCACTGATTTTACCACCGCACACGTCCTGAAGGCAGCCCCGGCCGTGGTCCCACTGCAGCGCCTGGTCCACTGCACTCATCGCTCTGCTTCCTCTCTTGTTCCAGCCTTTCCCCTCCTCACACCTGAGTGATCTTTCAAAATGTAAATCAGATCTTGTTCTTCCCCTGTTCAAAGCCCTGCAACAACTTCCAACTATACTTAATAATGAGCAAAATTTGTTCATGGCCTCAAAACCCACACCCAAGCCAGCTCCTCCCTCTCAGCCGCAGCGTCTTGACCGACTCCTTGTTCTGCCCGCCCTGTTTCAGTTCCACTGGCCTTTGGACACTTCCTACTTTCTAGCTCGAGGCTGGTAAGCTGGCCCACATGACTCTTCTTAGTTTGTCACATGGTTGCTCTTCTTTTCCTTAAAATCTCAACCGTAAGCATCCCCTCTTCAGAGACATCTTCCCTGACGACCTACTGGAAATCAGTCCTCCCTGGAATTCTGACAGTGTCTTACATATCTCCCTCTTGGAACTTTCTTACACGCTTACTTGTTTGTGTTTTGTCTATCTCCCCTAATGGAATATAAAGTTCCATGACAGCAGTGCCTTCTCTGTTTCACTTTGCTTTGCAAAATAGCCCAGGACACAGTAGGTGCTTAACACAGATGTGTCAAATGAGGAAGCACACTTTTGAGTAGGTATGACACCCCCTACCTTGCCTCTGGCAACCACAAAGTTAAAGGTTAAAGTTTTTTGAGAGTAGCAGGTCTCCAACTTTGAGATAAGCAGTTAAACAACAGATATAAGGACATACTGGTAGATTATTTCTAAGAACCAACCCCCCAGGTTCCAGCCGCAGCTATGATCATGGGAGGACAATGGAAGTGAGGTCAAAGGGTAGGGGCTGGAATTCTGCCTCAGCTATTTAACAGCTCTGGACTTAAGTCACTCAACTTCCAACCTCAAAGACTGTTTTCTCACTTGCAAGGTGGGACTACTCTACCCTCACAAGTTGAGGATTAAATGGTTGTCAGATATAAGGACATACTGGTAGATTATTTCTAAGAACCAACCCCCCAGGTTCCAGCCGCAGCTATGATCATGGGAGGACGATGGAAGTGAGGTCAAAGGGTAGGGGCTGGAATTCTGCCTCAGCTATTTAACAGCTCTGGACTTAAGTCACTCAACTTCCAACCTCAAAGCCTGTTTTCTCACTTGCAAGGTGGGACTACTCTACCCTCACAAGTTGAGGATTAAATGGTTGTCTGTGACAGCCTTTGTAAGCTGTTAAATAGCATAATAATGTGGTCTACAAGCACCAAATATTTCCCCCTTTTCTGGTCTCTCTTGGGTGCATATAACTAAGCAGAAAGAAACCTCCCCCAAGTTCAGCCACAAGCAGGCTTGTTAAATCCCAGAATCTGTGGAGAGAAGATCCTCACCAAACTGAGGGTCCCTAAAGGTACCTGACTTCATTAAATTGCAAAGGACATATCTGATTCAATTTTTTAAGCACTCCCAGGCCAGTGACACTGAGAAGACTGCTGCTTCTTTACTGCTATGAGGTAATCATCAGGATTGTCACTCTTAAGTATTTTGGATTTAATAAGGAAACCATTAAATTTCAAGATTTAAAATGACCTAGATTGCCTCATTTCCTTAGTTCTCAAGAGCTATATTAAACAGCTTCAAAGCAGGGAGAACTAACATGATAATTCAATTTATTCGGGTTTGCCATACACAAGAGGAATGGAATTAAGCAATGGTGGATGGGGAATGACATCCACATTTCTTCTTGGTTAGCTCATCACACTTTCAAATTCTTACTATGCTCTCCCACTAAAGACTGGTAGGTCAAGGCAGCCACACCACACTTGGATGTGATTCGATGGTCCATTCTGCCCCTGCGGGACCAATTCTGAGGCAGAGTGGTTACCAAGGTTTGGCCCCACTCCTTCTCCTTTGCTTTTTTAGCAATTCCCTCATCACTGGGATGACACATAAGCCAGTCTCTGCCAACAGGACTGCAAACCCAAACTACCACTGTCAGGAGACTTGGGAAGAATCCATAAAACTGGGTATATGGTAAAATTATTCTAAGTAGGACAGTTAGGACAGGATGTAGGGACTCAGGATTGTGCACAAGTGCAAGGAGCATAAATAGAATTAGGCAACTGTCAGAGAGAGCAGGGAGTCTAGAGTTGGTGCCAGGAACGTCTGGACCAGATTGCTTTTGCTGGTTCCTGGGGCTCCAGGCGCCCCGCGGATGCTTACTCAACATTCCAGAACGATCCCTCCGTGGTTCTCTGCAGCACAGGCCTGTGTGCTTGGCAGCCAACTGTGACCTACTTGCCATTCCATATGGACTGCTCCCAGGACTTGCTATGCAATTTGCAGGGTCCAGTACAAAACAAAAAAGCAGGGACTCTTGTTTAAAAATTATTAAGACTTTAAAGCAGTGACAGCAGAGCAGCAAAGCAAGTGTGGACTCTAAGTGGGAGACGCCATGCGAATGCACTTCCCAAGCTCATGAAGCTGCCCTGACTGCTGCAAACACTCCTACCACAACCAAGATGCTGGAGACTCCCAACCCCACCGGCCTGATATCACTTCATGTCACAATACACTAGCCAACTAGCATTGAGCTTTGGAAAGGGAAGGGAGGAGCAGCTCCTCTCTGCCCTCCAATCAAATATATAGCACTTCTCCTTACCTATTCAAACGTTCTGTTTCCACCTCAAATTCTCTAATCTTGCTTTCAGAGATGGCAGATCCGTGTGAGTAGAGTGTTTGGAAAATCTCTTGGATGTTGGAGCAATCCTGAAGTGAATGGGCCAGGTGTTCNGTTAAAGGTTAAAGTTTTTTGAGAGTAGCAGGTCTCCAACTTTGAGATAAGCAGTTAAACAAAAGATATAAGGACATACTGGTAGATTATTTCTAAGAACCAACCCCCCAGGTTCCAGCCGCAGCTATGATCATGGGAGGACAATGGAAGTGAGGTCAAAGGGTAGGGGCTGGAATTCTGCCTCAGCTATTTAACAGCTCTGGACTTAAGTCACTCAACTTCCAACCTCAAAGCCTGTTTTCTCACTTGCAAGGTGGGACTACTCTACCCTCACAAGTTGAGGATTAAATGGTTGTCTGTGACAGCCTTTGTAAGCTGTTAAATAGCATAATAATGTGGTCTACAAGCACCAAATATTTCCCCCTTTTCTGGTCTCTCTTGGGTGCATATAACTAAGCAGAAAGAAACCTCCCCCAAGTTCAGCCACAAGCAGGCTTGTTAAATCCCAGAATCTGTGGAGAGAAGATCCTCACCAAACTGAGGGTCCCTAAAGGTACCTGACTTCATTAAATTGCAAAGGACATATCTGATTCAATTTTTTAAGCACTCCCAGGCCAGTGACACTGAGAAGACTGCTGCTTCTTTACTGCTATGAGGTAATCATCAGGATTGTCACTCTTAAGTATTTTGGATTTAATAAGGAAACCATTAAATTTCAAGATTTAAAATGACCTAGATTGCCTCATTTCCTTAGTTCTCAAGAGCTATATTAAACAGCTTCAAAGCAGGGAGAACTAACATGATAATTCAATTTATTCGGGTTTGCCATACACAAGAGGAATGGAATTAAGCAATGGTGGATGGGGAATGACATCCACATTTCTTCTTGGTTAGCTCATCACACTTTCAAATTCTTACTATGCTCTCCCACTAAAGACTGGTAGGTCAAGGCAGCCACACCACACTTGGATGTGATTCGATGGTCCATTCTGCCCCTGCGGGACCAATTCTGAGGCAGAGTGGTTACCAAGGTTTGGCCCCACTCCTTCTCCTTTGCTTTTTTAGCAATTCCCTCATCACTGGGATGACACATAAGCCAGTCTCTGCCAACAGGACTGCAAACCCAAACTACCACTGTCAGGAGACTTGGGAAGAATCCATAAAACTGGGTATATGGTAAAATTATTCTAAGTAGGACAGTTAGGACAGGATGTAGGGACTCAGGATTGTGCACAAGTGCAAGGAGCATAAATAGAATTAGGCAACTGTCAGAGAGAGCAGGGAGGTTAGAGTTGGTGCCAGGAACGTCTGGACCAGATTGCTTTTGCTGGTTCCTGGGGCTCCAGGCGCCCCGCGGATGCTGACTCAACATTCCAGAACGATCCCTCCGTGGTTCTCTGCAGCACAGGCCTGTGTGCTTGGCAGCCAACTGTGACCTACTTGCCATTCCATATGGACTGCTCCCAGGACTTGCTATGCAATTTGCAGGGTCCAGTACAAAACAAAAAAGCAGGGACTCTTGTTTAAAAATTATTAAGACTTTAAAGCAGTGACAGCAGAGCAGCAAAGCAAGTGTGGACTCTAAGTGGGAGACGCCATGCGAATGCACTTCCCAAGCTCATGAAGCTGCCCTGACTGCTGCAAACACTCCTACCACAACCAAGATGCTGGAGACTCCCAACCCCACCGGCCTGATATCACTTCATGTCACAATACACTAGCCAACTAGCATTGAGCTTTGGAAAGGGAAGGGAGGAGCAGCTCCTCTCTGCCCTCCAATCAAATATATAGCACTTCTCCTTACCTATTCAAACGTTCTGTTTCCACCTCAAATTCTCTAATCTTGCTTTCAGAGATGGCAGATCCGTGTGAGTAGAGTGTTTGGAAAATCTCTTGGATGTTGGAGCAATCCTGAAGTGAATGGGCCAGGTGTTCTGCCACACTGCTGGACACCTATAAAGATGAGCATTAATTCCCCTCTGGTCAGTGTCACTTCAGGGACATGCTTTGCATACAAAACAATTTAAAGCTGATATTGCTTGAGAATAAGCACCAGGAGATGGTTACCCTGGTGGTTCTCAGTTTGTATAATCCTCCTATGAAAAGCTAACTACTATGAAAGCAGTATGTAAAACAGAATCAAGATTCAGCTCCATCCCCCAAGCACCTGCTGCTGGTCTGCAAGGATGGGAGTGGGGGTGGGGGTGTCCTGCCTCTTTAGAGTCCCTGTAATGTTGGATGTTAAACAGAGTCAGCACTTCCTTACCACGTTCTGAAACCCTGGCACTCCAGGCCATTATGTCTAGTTACTGTAGCCAGGAGAGGGGTTGGCTCTTTTATTGTCACAATTTGGCTTTAGCTGGAATCTGAATGCATACAATTTTTGCTTAGTGCAAAATTTGAAACTAAGGCCTTAAAAGTGCTATTTAGGCTCTCTCCACCCTTGAGGATCAAGTAGCTGGCTCTCCCAGCCTCATCCCCAATCCTAGAATATATCCCTTAAGGAACTGAAACTGTTCCCTTTTCACCATCCGTCAGCTCTTACAGCCCCAGGGGGTTCACAGACTCTACAAATGAAAACTCTGGTACTAAACTGGAAGGTTCCAGTTCTTCGGTCTTTCATAGCATTGGGCTACACTTCAAAGGCCACATTCATCCTCACTGAAAAGCACATTCCCTTTCAAGAGGACTGTGCAAAAGGCAGAGTTCTTTTAGAGCTCCATGACTCCTCTGGTCTCTGGGGTAGCAGAGTGATATAAAACAGATACTTAAAGACTTTCATCTACATCACCAGAAAGGAGACCTAAATCATTTCTTTCTGAATGGTTTCAAGTAGAGGGAAAAAAAAAAATCTCCCTTAAAATTGAAAAAGTAATTTACATGTGGAAGGAAATCACAATACATTTTAATTTGATCCTTTGGAAGGAAATCGGGTATGATTTACTATTACAATTAACTGGTTTATTGGAGGTGAACTTTGGAAATTCCACCATCTCTAAGCTATTGTCTGTGCAGCTCTACTGGGTTCTTTCTTGCCTCACCTCTCATGGACACTTACCCCTATGCTACTGATTTCTGAGCCCAGGACTGGCCGATCAGACGATGAGGATTCAGACCTTGTCTTTGATAGCTTCACCCTCTCAGCAATCTTAAAAAACAGAACAAAAACTGTTGAGACTATGTTTATGTACGGCTACTGTTTAGCCATGTCAACTAAACTGATTAATTTCTTATGAACAACTCATTTGCCTAATTTTTCTACCATCAGCCTAACTCAGGGCCTCTCGACCTCAGCACACACTGTTGACACTTGGGCTGGGTAACTCTGTTGTGGGAGCTGTTCTGTGCACACAGACTATTTAGCAGCATTGCTGGCCTCTAGCCACAAGATGCCAGTAGCACTCCAATTGTGACCATCAAAAATGTCTCCAGACATTGCCAAATGTCCCCTGGGGGACAAAATCACTTCTGGTTGAGAAACACTGGTTTAACCTAACTTGCTAAACTTCACCATTGAGAACCAACTGTATTGTGGAGACTAGCAGGGGGTACCAGAAAGGAAGACACATATTTTAACAGTCTCTCTGTGTAGGACCCCACACATGAGCTGGGGGGCCGTGGCAGACAATGGGTGGGGCTACTTCTCACAACTGCTGTAGTCTGCCCATCAGAATCTATTGTTCTGCTGGCAGAACCGTTGGTCTTGTGAGTGGGGAGATCATTGGTTCATTATTCAGGGTCCCCCATTGGGCTGAACCTCAGTCCTTGAGAGCGACTCTCTGTCCACCATGAAGCATTATAGATTCTCACTCTTCACAATGACTTGTCAGCTGTGACATTCTCCAGCTAGATGATTAATGACTGTTGGCGTCCAGGTTGCTGCCAAGAGAGACTTAAAACTATTAGCGGGTTATCTCTCCCTGCAGCTCCAGCGTAGGAGGCCTGCACAAGGTCCCTAGGGAAGCCCCTCAGGCCTTCTGAGCTAAGGGCATGCCTGCACAGTTGAGTGCTAGGCAGAGGCTGGTGCTTCCAGATAACAGGAGGCGTTCCCGCCCATCCTTCCCATCCCCAGGAGCTCACCTTGGCAATGGGAATGTCATTGCTGCTGCTGCTTGTGCTCAGTTCTCCAGTGCTGGGGTTAACTGGGCGATTGGTGGAAGTGAGGCGGCCAGGGCTGGAGGGACCTGTGGCCTGCACGCTCTGTAGTCGGGTTTGAAGTTCTCGAACCTGAAACCATAATGCCTTTAGACACAGTTGGAGGTTTCCCAGACCAAAGAGCAAAAGAACCAGCTGGGCAAGATGGTGGGGCTTTCATTTACATTAAGAGATCAGCCCTTCTGGAAAGCTAAATCAGTTCAGTCCACATACAAGTCACTGTATTCTTAACTGGACCTGCCAGTGACTGTCATCTGTTCTTCACAAGCACAAGGTGAATGTGTTACCTAAGGTACTACAAGCTTCTAGCAGGGGAGGGATCACCACCTTAAAGGAATGTTTATTCACTCAGTCCCAAGTGCCTGACTCTGTGCTGAGAGAAGACCCAGAGTGAAATTTCCACTGTCATGGAACCCAGAGCCCAGAGGAAGAGTGGTGAATGATTTCACAATCATTTATCATTTACAGCAACACAAGTGCACTTGAGTGCTGTAAATATCTATCTCGAGTGATACAGGAAGCAGAAAAGGGGAAGAATGTAGCTCCACCTGAAGTCATCCAGAGAGAGCTTAACGAGGGCAGCGGCACTTCAGCAGAGGCAAAGGTGAGGAAGTGGGGGGCAGCTCTGATGATGGTATGGGGGGTGGGGAGAGGGGGAGAACCGCTTGCACAAGCGCACAGGCATCGGGATGACCCGCTGTGTGTAAAGAGTCGCAAGTCATTCAATGTGCATAGTTTGGAAGAGAGTCTGCATTGTGAGGGGTTAGGCTAAGATGACGAGATAGTGATGGCAACAGCAGCGTTCCCTCAAGTGACTTCAAGAGAGGACTATCCCTGGGGCATATAGTTTGGAAGAGAGTCTGCATTGTGAGGGGTTAGGCTAAGATGACGAGATAGTGATGGCAGCAGCAGCGTTCCCTCAAGTGACTTCAAGAGAGGACTATCCCTGGGGCATCGGGAAGGACTATCCACACAGACCTCCTGTATAAGAAACACACACAGGGCCTCTGAATGACATTTAAAACACACATTTCCCCACCCAAAATTTAAATGTCCACATCATGCTTCTCTGTGGTTATGGCTCTGTGACTTCCAAAGAGAGAAGTGCTCCAAGTAAGTGAAGACGGTTGCTGGAAACTGGTCTTTCTGATAACCTTGTTCACAGTTTTATCATCAAGGTACAATGTCTATCTTAAAGGGCAAAGTGACTACAGCACCCAAGAGGCCTTACGAATGGGTACCCCACTCCCAGGAACTCTGATGTAGTAGGTCTGGATGAAGCCCAGGAATCTGCCAACTGACAAGCTCCCAGGAGATGCTGATGCTGCCAGTCCGGGCATCACACCTGCACAGCACTGCCCTAAGAGACTCTCAAGGCCATGGAGCACTTTAGTCCCACAGACAGACAGAGTGAAACTGTAACCCTGTGCCAGCCCTGCTGCCAAAACCCTTCTAGGCAAGGGTGGAGAATAGGCACATGGCCTCTTCTCTAAAAGCCACTGGAAAGCTTTGCATATTAAATATCTAGAATGTCTCCATCCTGCTAACTTGGGAACCAAAAGTTCTTGAAATTTCAATAATTCATCAGCATATTAGAAACCAAAATAGAAAAATTCCCTTGGAGCACATTGCATTCCGTAGTGAAACAGCTCAAAGGCGCCTAATGCTCTGCTGTGGCTTCCAGGAGCTGTGGGCTGATGGAAATGGGTGCCGTCTCGTAACAGGCCAGATGCAGGCTGACCTGAAAACAGCTTAAAGACTAGAAAAACACATGCCTGTTGAAGCCAAATGGTATTGCTGGTGAGAGATTACAGGTCTCATTCTGTAATGGTCCCCAACAGACTGAGAGCAGGTGTCAGTGTAGCTGCCTCACTTTGCCACAGGCTAAGGGAGAGGGCCTGTTTTCCATCAGGCATGGGGGAAACCTCCCTGGCAGACACCATGGGTTTCAGTTTCTACTGCAATGAAAAGTCTGATTAGGTCCTGAATAATTAACAATGTTAACACCACTCCAAAACCTAAATAGTGTCTGAATTGTACACAAAACAATCAGTGGTCTGTTCCTAAGAATCCCAAGTGGCCTACTATCTTGCCTTTTAAATGATACAAATGGTCCTAGGCAATTTATAAAAACTTCATTAAAACTACCCACGTTTAAAAAATGTTTCTTCTATTCACAAAAGTAAAACATGTTCATCATGGAAAATTTAGATGGCACTGATAAATAAAAATAGGAAAAGTACTTATGTTTTTTCTTACTATACACAGACAATTATTTCTGGTCATTTTCCATGATGGGTGTATGCACACATGCACTTAAAATAATTTCTAAATCTAAATACCCATTTTCATTTTAAAATAATTTCTAAATCTAAATACCCATTTTCATTTTAAAAGCTCTGGACAAGAGAATGTCTCTGAAAACTAAAGGATGATAAATGTGTTTATTTTGGGCTATGCTTTATTATTTAATGATAATTGCTAGCCCGTGGGAAAAAATCCAGCTCAAGGGAGTGTAGTGAGCCTGTCATGGAAAGAAAGACAGCTGGTTGAGTTAAATGGCCTACTCCCCACTCTTGATTTGGAGGTGGGGATCTTAATTAATTTAAATGAATACATGCACAGAAATGAAGGCTACAACCAATCTGCTGATTCAGCTCAGGCAAGGCTTGGGAGAGGGGCAGAGGCATAGCTATCAGTGTCCTCACTTCTATTCTCACCCATTGTAGTGGGTTGGATTGTGTCCCTGCAAAAGATATGTCCAAATTCTAACCCCCAGTACCTGTGAATGTAACCTAATTTCAAAACTGGGTTTTTACGGATATAATAAGTTAAGGATCTTGAGATAAGGTCATCTTGGATTTAGGATGGGCTCTATATCCAATGACTGGTGTCCTTATAAGAGAAAAAAGAGGGAGATTCAAGCCACAGATGCAGAGACGCAGGGAAGCAGGTCCTGTGAAGACGGAGGCAGAGGCCGGCTATGAGTCAAAGAACACCAGGAGCCACCGAAAGTGGGAAGAGGCAAGGAAGGATTCTCCTCTAGCGCCTTTGGAGAGAGTGTGGCCCTGGCAACACCTTGATTTTGGACTCCTGGACTCTGCAACGGTGAGAGAATAAGTTTCTGTTATTTTAAGCCACCAAGTTTGTGGTAATTAATATGCCCATCTTTCACTGAAGATATTTTTATTAAAGGAAATATGTTTCTCTCTGAAAAATAATGTGTTTGGGAGTCAAGATAGCTGAGAGCCAAGGCTGACTGAGGTAGGATTGGTACTTGTGGGAAGGTCGTTCGTCACCCTTCGTAGCCTTTCTCAGTCAGGGCTCCTCGACAACAGAACATGATCCGGGTGGCCATTTTCTCGTTTACTGTAAAGTTTCCACATAGCTAGCACCCACCCAGATGTACAAAAGAGAAGTTGGCCTGTTACGTGGGAACCCTGGTAGACTGGGAAGGCCTGATTCCTGTCTCCCAGGGACTCAGAGTCCAGCGAAACATTACTGGGAAATGTGCTCTGAAAATGAGGTACCAAAAAGAAGTGTCCAAGTACAGAGGAAGAAACATCGCCTCTGCCACGCCAGAGTAGGCAACCCTGCAGATCATTCTTGAAGGTTGAGAAGTCATTCAACAAGCACATAAAGAAGAAAAGACAGGGGGACATCTGAAGCATTCAGGTAGGGAAATGACATTAAAAGGCCAGACCTCTGCTTCTCTCTGTTTCTTTGAGGGTTTCATAAAGACCATTTGATGAGAGAAGAAAACGGACTGGGGTGAGGAAGAAGATGCTGGTGAGTCAGAGCTACACTGATGGCCCAGGTGAGAAATTCTGTTTCTTTGAGGGTTTCATAAAGACCATTTGATGAGAGAAGAAAACGGACTGGGGTGAGCAAGAAGATGCTGGTGAGTCAGAGCTACACTGATGGCCCAGGTGAGAAACGGGGAGGGCTCAGACAGCCAGTGAAGCGGGAACAAAAGGCAAAAAACGCCCCGACCAGCAGGTCTGACGGAACTTCCTGCACGGGCGGAAGCGTCCTGTGGCACTAGCCACACGTGGTCACTGAGCACTTGCAGTGTGCCCAGCGTACCCGAGCAACTGAGTTATTAACTGTATTTGATTTTAATTAATTTAAATTAAAATTTAAATAGTTGTACGTGGCTAGTAGCTACTGTATTGATCAGTACAGTCCTAGATATATCCAAGGAGGTTAAAAAAAAAAAAAAGAGCCACATCCAAGCTTGCGGCTGTGGTGACTTAGCAGATCATGGTGCTACTCAGCACAATGGGAGAAACATAAAGAGCTGGTTTTTTTCAGCGAGGAATAAAGATGTCAGTGTTGGCCATGTTGAATTTGAGGAGACCATTGAGCACAGTAGTGAAGATTCTCAGTCAACAATTAGAAACATGAGTCTGAAGGAAGGAAATCAGAACTGCATACACAGATTTAGGGATTTTGGGTGTGGATAAGGTCCAGGGGTGTGGCAGTGGGGCGGGGGCAGAGAGCCTGTGCACAGCCAGCAGGAGCAGGGGGGCAACGAGGACAGGCAGAGGGGGCACCTTTTTCTCTGGGAAGTGACGAAAAGAGGTGAGATAGGCAATGAGAAGGGGGAGTGTGCAGACTGAAGATGAAGGATGAGAAAGAGAGGGATCCCCATCTGAGGGCTTCTATTTTCTCTGCTGGGCAGGAGGGAGGAGTCAGCAGACATCACAAATGGGACAAGAGGCTGACCTAGCACCAAAAAAGAAAAGGCAAGCTTCCACAGCAGCACTGAGCTCGGCGGAGCTCTTTCATTCACGAGGGTAGACTGAGTAAAGGCACCTTTCTCTTTAAACTCTGGAGACCTTGTTAAATAGGAAATACAAAAGGATTAAAGCCATACCAGTGAAAAGAATGCTTGGGGCAAGATTTGGGCGAAGTGGAAGGAGGAGTACTGATGAAAGAATTGGAATAAAAACTATAATGTATACAAAGGCAGGTGGCCAACCTACCCAGGAGGAGGATGGCAGGGTTTGGAGTCAGCTTTGGCAGACACCACAAAGGACAGGAACGAGAAGAGGGCTGAAAACAGGTTT